CCTTGCCCCCCCCCCGTCCCCACCTGCCCACCCATCAGCTGTGACATTTTTACAGAGGCATCTAATTACCTTTATTCATACTGGACAGTTTTTCTTCCATGTTAAGATGTCAAAACTCTAGCTGCGGCAGTGAGATGTTTAAACGTCCCAGAACAAGACCATCATCAGACAGTATAATCTAGAATGCCTGCGCATGTTAGCAGACGTGGGACAGAGAGATCATTTGTCCCTTTTCCTACCTCTATTCCTAGAACTCATACACCACCCAAGACCTGGGTACAGACTGGACTGATCATAAAGACCCTACCAGAATGCACCGATAAAGCAGTTAAATCTGGTTTTGCAGAACTGTACAGATTCTTGCCTTAACTGACCGCCTCTTGTCTCATGCAGATATGTGGAGAGCCCAAAATGTCCCATCAATTTAATTTATAGCCATGCCCACTCAGCATCTTTTAAATCATAATTCCAAAAATGCAAATCTAAAGAAAACCTCTCATTATTTATGTACCAGACATTACCCTTGGTACCAAACCTGCTATAAAGTGTTTCAACCTCAAGTGGCTGTATATCCGTGTAAAGTACAGCACAGAGACTGGCACCCAGGGATTGCTGCTTCCCCTCCCTCTCTCTTCTTTCTGACGAATTAAATCTCTGCTGAATAGTTATTTACCTATGTGGATGTTCATTCATAGATAAATAATTATACACATACTCGTGTGCTTGTATTCTACATTCATTTTCATTCAGATTGTACACATGAAAATGAGCATATAATCAGAAGTCTTGGGCCGGGGGTTGGAATAAGCTATTACTTATGGAAAGTGGAGAGTAGAATAAAATAAAATGAGCAGAAATTGGCCTATTTCCAAAAGAAAATAGACAACAGGATGGCTGAATAAGAAACAGACACAAAAGTACAAACACACGTGCGCGCACACATGTAAATATATACCATCCTATCATATCAAAACTGTTGTCTTAACAACACTTTTGTACAACTAAGAAAATATGTGCAAGGTAACTAAGTTACAGAGCATAAAAATAAAACAAACACTAATGATCCCACCCAACTTGAAACATGAACATTAGCCTCACCATAGATCTCTTTCCTTTCCCGCTCCCTACTTCCCCCACCAGATGCAATAACCATCTTGAACTTGGGGATTTTTCCCTCTTCATTATTTTGTTTGTTCTTTACTAGTTTAAGCACATATGTATCTGCCCTACAATAATAAATATTTGATTTTGTTTTGCATTTCATAAAAATGAAATCCACCTAAAGTGCTTTGTGCCTTACTTTTTTGTTGAGCTTCATGTTTCTGTGATTCATGTCATGCGTGTAGATATAGTCAGTTCATTGCACCACTGGGTAGCACTCCTTTCTGTACCTGTACTATAATTTATCTGTTCATTCCCCATTGGGGTCATTTCCTGCTCTATAACTACTCATGGATATGTCTCCTAAAACACAGAAGTAAAAAAAAGTAGAACTGCTGGGTCATAAAATACATATCCAAATTATTTTCCAAAGTTTTTGTACAATTTTCACTCCTATCAACAGTAATGGGAGTTTCGGTTGTATGCATTTTCATTAAAATACGGTACCGTCAAAGTATCTCATTGTGGTTTTCCTCTAGTATTAGGTTTTTTGCCAGTTTCCTTAATTGTCTTACTTTCAAATCAAGGAATTTGGAAACCTAACAGGGGGTAACTTTTTTATGTAGAGATAAAAATGGCGGGGACAATAGAAAATAAAATAGAATTTTCCCATTTACGCTACAACGTTCTTTGATTTTCTACATTTTCCCTCTAAAATATAGTATCTTACCTTCTTTTCTTTAGATGACTTTGCTCCTTCTCAAATCCATGACGACCAAAAGAGAGATTTAGGTGGGAGACACAGGACCGAGATGGTGATGTGAAGGGCTGCTGGGCTTCAGTATTTGCTGTTATTTCCCTGTTCTCACTTGGCGGGTACATGCCAGGGCTGGTTTCAGCAGAAAGGATATGCTCACAGCTCTGAGGTCCCAGAGTAGAGCCCATGGATTCAGGGCAGGTGTCTGTAGTGATTCCCTCTAAGTTTATATAGTTAATGTCCAAATCACCAACCTGGAAGACAAAAGAAAAATAGTCGCTAAGCAAAGCAGGGCAGACTGGCTTAGCTAAGAATGAAATTCTCCCAATTTAAAAACCTTCCACTCTATTCATCTTTTTTTATTTTATGTTTTCTTGCTTTTGTTTTGTTTTATGTAAGCAGAGAATTCTTTCATGATATATTTTTGTTCACCTGGCTGCTATCCCATAATTCACAAAAGGAAAAAGACCAACTGATCATTTTAACAATTTTATGAACCACTGACTCAAAATTAGAGGAAATGCTTTAAATACCTGAGAAAAAACTAAGGAGCAGGCAGCCTTATTTAAAAAATAGTTTATAGGAATTTGGGTAAACAAGTTAGTGGTGGCTGCATAAATCTGAGTCTCCCAAAAATCACTACCAAACAAAAGTCAGAATAAAACTGCATAGGATGCATAGACTTAGCATAACTTTCTAGATCTGAACTTCAAATTACCTAGATATAATAAAAGAAACACCCAATCTCAGCAAGCAACTTGTCATACTCCTGCCATAAATCTTTGCAGAGAAAAAGGGCAGTCTGCAAAAATCTGCATGGCAGACAGAGCAAGGAGGTAGTGCAGGGCCTAAGACCGATCTAAAAATTATCATGGGAAGAGAAAGCCCACGTGTGAAAAAGTGTCCCGAAGCGCCTAAGGAAGGGGCTTAAAAACAGGTGATCTGAGGTGGCACTCATCAAAAGGCATTGCTTCTGGGGAGAAGACAGTAAAAAGAAAAATGACACCATTTAGATAAAGAGTGGCGAAGGGGAAATGAATCTAGGGTCCTAAATCAACCATCGTAATGATAATTTACTGAGGCAAAAACAGTCAAGGAAAGCTAAACCAGTGGGTGCAAGTCAAATGAGAAACCAGATATTTACAATGACTCAAACTATCCCCCAAAAGATAGTTAATATATTTTTTTTTAAATAGTAATTTTATGAAAAATAAACTTGGTAGACCAAAAATAACATCACCAGTAAAATTATCAATGTCATAAAAGGTGACTAAGGAATTGCCCCAGATTAAGGGAGACTAAATACACAGGGCAACTAAATACAGATGTCTGATTGAATTTCCTTCTGCTTCAGAGAACTTTCAGATAATTGGCTAAAACTGAGTAAGATCTGTACACTGCGAACAGTACTGTATTGACGATGATTCCCTGGTTTTGGTAACTCTCTATGCTTATGCAAGAGAAGGTCTATGTTTTTAGGAAAATACACCACGAAAGATTGAGGGGGACAGGGGTAACATATTATCAATTTCCTCTCAAATGGTTAAAAATATTTACATATATTTTAAGCATTTGCATGCACATAAACACACACCCATACTCGGGGATAATAAAGTAAAATATTAACATTTGGGGAGTTTTGATAAAAAGTATACAGAGATCCATTGTACTGAATTAAGTAGGCTTGAAAATGATGCTCAAATACAATGTTGTGGATTTTTTCAAAGTAGCCTATATGACAGAGTAATTTTCAAAGTAGTTTTATCCTGTGAATTTCCGCATCAGGTAGGTGGATAACCTTGAGAATTCACAGGACACAGCATTGCAAATAGGCTAGCAATCTTTTTAGGTTTCTGTGCCACGTTGAGGGAAACGAAGGAAATAGATAAAATTCTTTCCAGATACTGTGAGAAATTATTTTAAATATGCAGAACTTGGACTCCTTGTTCTTGATATTCAAATGGACACAGGAACAGTAAGAGAAAGGATACGATAACAGTACCACACTGATGACAGTGAACTTTGTGATGTGTACCCAGGTTTTCAGTTTCATTTGTTTTCACCGCACACGTTTCACAATCCTCTACTACACTTCAGTTGATCAGTCAGCCTGTTTGAGCTCTCTTCAAATGTATGCTTCACATTATTAAAGCAATTCTTCTCTCACTCAAAACATTCCCAAACAGGTTACATCCTAACTTCATCTTCAGTGTGTAAGGTTTTGTATTTTTAACGTATCTTAAAAAAAGCCATGGTTTTCCCCTCCTAGTAGCGAGTCATGCACCATTTTAGCTAGTTGAGGCAGTGAAAATGTTACAGCGTTCACTGAGGCTCAGAACCAAACAATAATAAGAACTCCAGAAATATTTCATGTAAATGCTCAGAAAATATGGCAACAGAATAAAACCATCAAAATCAGAACGTGACTGGACACCAAGCCCAATGAGCCTGTGTCTTCAAAGACGGTCCCCAGAACCCCCACCTTGTCCTGCACTCTGTGCCTCATCCTGGACCTCTAACCAGGGTGCACGCTCGGCTGCTTCATACCAGCTACTTCTAGCCCGATGTCCACGTCCCAGTGTTCATTCCTCTGTCATTCTGAATATCATCCCGACCATGCATTTACACAATGCATTTGAGGTAATAACGTTTTATAACAAAAAGGAAAAGCAGAGACATTAGACTATGGGGATGAAATTGAGGTCTAGAAGACAGAAAAATGTTTACATCACAGTAAATATAAGTAATAGGGTGCAATATATGCACACTGACAACAAGAAGGGGTACAATGCCTCACTGCTCAAGGAGCAGCGACCCAGAGCATTCACATGGGAATTGGGCTTTAAAGTCCGTGGGTAACACAGCAATTGTGTTGTCAAAATATAACCCTTGGCTCCCTTAAACCTAACAGGAATTAGAGTGCACGGGAATCTTCAGATCTATGACTGCATTTTAATTTTCATAAATATGAAAATGAAAGGGTCGCTGAGCTAGAGAAAGGAATGAAGGGTAAATTCACATCCCTGGTAGACACACAAACACCCGCCTTGATGAGACTTAACCCACAGTCTCTCTCAGGGACGGGCGGGGAAGCCTGCAGGGTTCCAGCTTCCCTGTCGCGTGACACCGTTCGGCTTCAGTATTAAAGCTCTACAACCTTATTACATGTTAATAGTTGTGTTGGAAGGATTAAAGCGGTAATTTCTGGGGCTGGCGTCAAGCTCTTGCTCACCAGGCTCTTGCTGGATTTGAATCCAGATACTGCTAGAGCAGATCGCACGCACGTGTTTTGAAAAGCTGTAGAGAAGCGGCGGGCCTCCCCGTCGTGGGATTGCCACTGCCCATTCTGGCCCCACTGAAGAGCCCTGGCCCTCCTGTCACCTGGCAGTGCCAGAGCCCCTTCCTCGCCAGGCAGGGTGAGGGGAGCTGTGTTCGCAGGGAGGACCCCGTGAGACGCCCACTCGATGGGGCTGCACTGAGGCTCAACAGCGCTGACTGTCTGCATCACACACTGGCGCTGGGAAGAGGGCAGGGCCGCCCTGCACCCCCAGTCGGCTCACCTGAGCTGCCTCCACGCAGTCGGCGCAGACTTCGTCGCCGCCATTCAGCACGTCGGACAGGCCGCCGGCAGCAGGGAACACGGGGCGCTGCGTGGGCTGTTTGAGGGTCTCACGGGAGCGATCTAGGGCAAAACGAGACCAGGAGAAATAAAGCGGAAGGAATTGGTTTTACAGTCAGCCTTTACCTTCTCAACCAAACCATAAGGAAAAAAATCAAGATTGTATTTTTAAAGATAGTTCTCTGCTCTCTCCACTTATTCAGAACTATATGCAAGCACTTTACCTTCTACGTCCAAACCTTCTCAGTATCTAAAACCAGCACACAGAACACATCAGCCTAGATAAGTGTGTGCCCACCTCGAGCACTATTTTCCCAGTCATGACAGATTTTTATGAAATCGATGAGAGGTCTGCTTTCAGTTTCTAAGAGATGAGACTAAACGTCGCTTTCTGTGTCACCGGGAAGCATTCCTGCTCTCACGGTGCTCGCGGGGCGCTGAGGGGCCCGGCTCCAGGCCCTTTCCTGGGCCAGGGCGCAGGCCCCCGGCGGCGCCCGGAGCGCGCACTCCACGCCGTCTGGCCTCTCGGGCAGTCACAGCGCCTTTTGCCAGCTCCATGTTCTCAGCTCTCTTCCAAGGACATGAGCTTGCTAAAGGGCAGTCCCAGACAGCTGAGGTGTCACCGTATTTGTAAGCAACATAAAGCTGAAGGCAACAAAGCAGGGTTGAAGCCAGAACGCTTCATTCCTGTGTCTCTGCCTGAACTGCTTCATCTCCAGAGACCCTTCCAGGGTCTCCTCACCTGTACAAGTGGGTATTTATTACGCTTCCTCACTGTGAGGGTACGAGGATTACATTAGTTCAGACATGTAAAGCACTGGACACACGCCCAAGTACTTAGTATGTGCTCGGTGAACACTGCCACTATCACTATATTTTGTTACTATTAATAGTAATTTTAACCATAATCAATGTGAGGTACAAAGTCATTAATACTAATCATAGGGTATCATCATAATAAATTATCAATGTCTGTAAATGGCTTTAATAGGATAGGTTCAAAGTTATATCCATAGCAAATGACATCCTCACTGACATTCCATTCAGTTTTCCTGCGTCAATACAAAAGGAGTAGTGCTGTCTCAGTTCTCTCAGAAACGGCACTTATGCCACCGCCTGTCTTCATGACATAGCATAAAACCCAGGTAAACCCATGGGAATCAGAATTTTTTTAGAAAGTTGAGAACTGTTGGGCTGATGTACTAGGAATAAAAAATTCTATTCTTTCATTGAAAGTCCTGGATGACATTACAGAAGTTACAAAGATATATGAATTGTATGAGCCAAATGACCCTGGCTTCAGGTTCTGCATCTGAATTTATCTCTTCCCCACAGAACACCCAGCTGAGATTTTTATTAAGCTCCTTGAGGAAATATACAATGTAAATGTAAAACATTATCTTCTTATATCTGTCATGTCTTCTTTTATCAATGTATTTACATAGCTAGCAATATAACATACAAAGCCCACAAATACTTCACAAGTATAACCTTTATGATCAATTACTATACATTTTTATTCTAATTACACAAAATAAGAGTATGTTCCAAAGGTTATAAATCAAGAACCTGACAAAACCCTTTCACTATGTTCTGAAGTAAGAAAATACTTGCTCATTTGTCATTTTACAGAATGTTTGAAATACAATCATAAATAACTCAACATGGTCCCCTGACGTGTAATTAATCCAGCTTAACTGCGCTCGTGTCCTGAGTTCACAGACTGTAACACACCTGCATGTCTGCCATCAGCCTTGGGAGGCTGGTTGTGCCCCTTTAACCACTTCCATCACTGCCAAATTAAAACTTCACTGATCACTAGACTAAGGAACTAGCAAGGTATTTAATGAAACAACTGAAAAAAAATGATAATTTCTTTTTCTTTTCTTTTTTAATACATCTTTATTGGTTTCAGAGAGGAAGGGAGAGGGACAGAGAGAGAGATAGAAACATCAACGATGACAGAGTCATTGATCGGCTGCCTCCTGCATGTCCCCAACTGGGGATCGAGCCCGCATCCCGGGCATGTGCCCTGACTGGGAATCGAACTCCGACCGCCTGGATCCTAGGTCGATGCTCAGCCGCTGAGCCACTCCCAGCTGGGTGACCGATTTCATTTTTAAAACCTAGAACCAAATGAAACATTACCCCAAATGGCCTGGTGCCAGTGACTGCATTGCCCAGTCATCCGACAGCCGTGTCCTGAGCTACCAAGAGAGCAAGCTCTGAGTTCACACTGACCCTCACTTTAAGGATGAGCAGGGCCAGGAACTACCTCTGTTTTCACATGCACAGGCAAAAGTCATTTGGATTCAACTTTTCTTCCACAAATACATCTCCCTGGCCCCATGTGGCAGAATCTATAAGGAAATGGTACCCGGGCAGTAAAAATAAACTCAAAAATGGCAGTTACTTTGGTTACTTTGACCAACTTGGAATCTAATTTGTTTTCTGCATGATTAATTTGATCAGAATTTTAGAAAATGATGTGATTTATTTATAAGACGGGTCCATAATCTCTGATCTGCAATTCTGACATCCAGAAAGCTCTGAAAAATCAAAAATTTTTTTCCCTAAGTTTAAAAACATGATGGCAAAATCCAACCCGAACCCACATGAGGTCATGTACAGTCTCTATTTACCCTCTTCAGTGTGACCATTCATACACCCTGCTGCAGAATTATCACCGTGCCTGACGATGGCATTGCCCAGTGTTTCCTACGGGAATCATAGCACATGTATTATAAGCACTATACCAAAAAACCTGAACATTCCTCACTCCAAAACATAGCTGGTCCCAAGAGTTTTGAAGAAGAAATTGTGGATCTCCACAAAATCAACCAGAGCACGTATTAGACCAAGATTTTGTCGTTCCTCTACCAAGTTCACAATTTTCCATACCTACATCTCACCTGTATTATTATATGCTCTACTAATCTTTAGACGGACTTACCTTTTTCTCTTTAAATAAAACGAATTTTCAAAGAAATAGCTATCCCCACTGTAAATGGAAATTATACATATTAAAACAATAAAAACAAAACAGTGAAACTACATCTGACTAAATACAGTTGCCTGTGAGAGCTGAGCACCTACAGCACCTGCTCTTTGTCGTAAGGGGAGACTGAACAATTCGCAATGTTGAAGATGCAGTGGTGCCACTAGATGTCATCTAATGTTAGGTTGGGACACCGTCTCCAAGACTGATGGACCCCAGAAGAATGTACCTTACCCTTTGGAAAGCTTGCCTAGATTGTGACATCCTGTCAATTAGGTAAGGATTGCACTGAGTCAGTCCTGGG